TGCCCGGGTCCTCCTTCCTCCCCTTCTTGAAAATGGGGACCACATTGGCCCTTTTCCAGTCCTCCGGGACTTGGCCCGTGCGCCATGAGCGTTCAAATATTCCCACCAGTGGCTGTGCAGTGACGTCGGCCAGTGCCTTCAGCACCCTCGGATGGTAGCCATGCAGTCAATAATTAACAAAGAAATGATACAAAGAAAATTGGCCCCATGCAGTCAATAATTAACTGATAAATACCCTTGCATGTGCGCAACTGCAGCATGGCATGCAGGTAGTGAGGACACGCCTGGCAGCTTGGAGAGCTGTGTGCATCTGGTACGTCCACTGTGGTGGAAATGTAGGGAGGAGGGAAGGGTGGGGGGAGGGGGCAGATCAACAGCCCCATGGTGAGGGAGGAGTGGGGCAGTGGGGCTGGGGCAGACACTGCCAGCCAGGGCAGGGCGGATGCAGGATGGAGCTGTGGCTCATCTGGGGATATGGGAGGGTGGAGAAGCTCCCATGTGTGTGTGGCCCCCGGGAGGGCACAAAGCAGGGTGTGTGCCACCGGATCTGTGCAGGCAGGGGGGCAGGCTGCAGCTGCGGGGTCAGACTGTGCCAGGCTCTTCTTGGTGGGGCTGGGCTCAGGGCGCATGGCAGCAGTGCTGGGAGGGGGCCATGGGGGGGATACGGACACCCCAAATTTCACCACAGCCCCCTCATAGCCTGTTCCAAGTGCTGCTGCCGGGTGCACCAGCACTGCACTGGCTTTTCCCAGCACGTGGGTGGAGGTGGGGGTTGGGCTTGGGGTATGCCACGGCGGTGCTGGGCGTGGGCTATGCGGCGGTCTAAGGTGACATATGGGTTGACTGCAGCCCTCCCCTAGCCCTCTCCCAGCGCAGCTGCCACACCCCCCAAGCACAGCCCCCACCGAGAAGAGCCTGGCACAGCCCCCTGGCTCCAGACCACAACTGCAGCCTGCCCCCTCACCAATCTGGGGGGAACTTGGCCCTGCCATGCCCTTTCAGGTTGCATGCAGTGTCAGGAGCCGCCCCACACCCCCAGATGAATCACAGCTCCGTCCCATGCCTGCCCTGCCCCGGCTGGACAGCATCTGCCCCAGCCCCACTGCCCCCTCCTGCCTCACCACAGGGAGCATTGATCTTCTCCCTATACCCTTCCCTCTTCCCTCCCCTTCCACCACAATGGATCTACCAGCTCCACACAGCTGTCTCAGAAATCGGATTGGTATCAGCTTATATGCCTCCTTAAAAATCAGCTATCAGTATCAGCCCCCAAAATCTCTATCAGTGCACCCCTTCTCGTCTCCAACCTAATATTCCCCTGTTGCAGCTTGAGGCCATTTGTCCTAGCCCTGTACCCTAGAGCCACAGATGTCCTCCCTATAACCATCCTCTCTAGACTATAATCACCCTGCAGATAGTTGAAAGCTGTTATCAAATCCACCCTCAGTCTTCTCTTCTCCAAGCTAACTAACCCTAGTTCTTTCAGCCTTTCCGCACAAGTCTTGCCTCTGAGGCACATAATCATTGTTGTTGCATTGCACTGGGCTCTTTCCAAACTGTCTCCCCCACATCCTTCTTGAAGTAGGGGATCCAAAGCTGGACACAGTACTCTAGGTGAGGCCACACCAGTGCAGAATAGAGTGGAAGAACCATTTTCCTTGATTTGCAAGCGACACTCCTGTTCACGTAACCCAGAATGCTGTTGGCTTTTTTTTGCAAGAAGAGCACGCAATTGGCTCATATTAAGTTTATGGACCACCATATCCCCCTGGTCCTTCTTTGCACTACTGGATCCACGCCATTCACTCCCAGTCTGTATTTGTACATGCAGTTATTCCATCCCAAGTGCAGGGCTTTGTACTTGTCCTTGTTGCATCTCATTTCATGGATAGTGGACCATTTCTTCAGTCTATGCCGGTCATTCTGGATCCTAGCCCTGCCATCCAGAGTGTCCACAGTTCCACCCAACTTGATATCATTGCAAATTTGTTCACTGTGCACTCGATCCCATTATCTGGAGCAGTAATGAAGATGTTGACTGATACCAGACCCAGGACATGCCCTTGGGGAACCCCACACTACTTCCCAACTAGGCTTGGAGCCACTAAGAACTTCTCACTAAGAACAATGATCCCATCAGTTACATATTTACCTAACACTACTTTCATGTAGTCTGTTTGTCCTTAACTTCTTATTAAGAATGTGGTGGGAGAGTTGCTAAAGTAAGGTATACCATGTCCACTGATCTCCCCTCATCCACAGAGCCTGTCACTCTGTCATAGACAGAAAGCAGATTGATAAGGCATGACTTGCTCTTGCTGATCCCCTGCTCACTGTTCCTGATCACCTTGTTCTCCTCTAGATGTTTCACAGCAGATTCCTAGAGGACCTCTTCCATGACCTTTCCAGGTATAGAGGTCAGGCTGATGGTCTGTAGTTCCCTGGACCTTCCTCCTTTCCCTTCTTACAGATATGCACTATATTTGCCCATTTCCAGTCATCCAGTGTTCACCTGACCTCCGCGAGGTCTCAAAAATGATAGCCAATGGCTCCAAAATTACCTCAGTCAATTCCTTCAGTTCCTGTTTCCCATCTGCAATAGTAGCACTGTTAGTGCCATGGGATATCAGCACTGTTACATGTACAAACACATACACATGATTCACAGGAGAAACCCAGAGATTTCAAAAGGGAATCGGTAGCGTCAGCATCTTTCTGACCAGTTGTGGCCTTTCTGAGATCTTTGTAACAGAACTGCTAGATTATTTTCTTCTTGTCAAAAAGTTGGTAAAAACTTGAGTCTAAGGAGAGGGTCCTTGAATCTAAAAAGGTTGAGACTAGTACCTGTAACAGGCAGCTCCAGAAGGAGCCCTGGAGAAGTGACTGGATGATGCCCAGCCTGTAGCCTGATGGCTAGAGCACCGTACTGCACACATAGAAAGGTGAGCTCAGAGTCTCTCTGGATGAATAGTGCTTAGAACTGCAGCTTTCACTAAGCCCTCAATGCCAGGTGCACACCAGGTGATTCCACCAAAGTCAGGCATCCCCAATCGACACTGTCTGAAGGATTACTGGAGAAGATCCCTTGATCAGGATCCGATCCTCCTCACACCGGGAGTCCAGAGTCCACGCTTAAAACAGCAGTTTCCATCCTGTTCCCTCCTTCCTGTTGGTCACCTGACACACATGCTTTTTATACCTAGTCTGATGCTAAACTGCTGGGCTTAGGGCCATTCACAATCTTGTTTTATAGCTATTACCCTATGAGATTAAAAGGTGTTAAAATCATTATAAAAGGTTACTACCCAGGCTTGGGTTTATACAATAAGCAAATTGCAACGCAGCATATTCAGGATTGAAATTAACATTACTCCACCTAAATCCAACCTTTTTAGAACTCTCTGACTATGCTTTTTTGAGATGTGGTTTCCTGGAATGTGCTGGGTGGGCCAGGCAGTTGAATCCAGTTTTTATCATCATCAAAATTAATTTCTGAGCATGAAAGAAGTATTAGGTTAGCTAATTTCACAGCTGTGTAACAGGCAGTTCCAGAAGGAGCCCTGGAGAAGTGACTGGATGATGTCCAGCCTGTAGCCTGATGGCTAGAGCACCGTACTGCATCGCTAGGAAGGCGAGCTCAGAGTCTCTCTGGGTGAATGGCGCCTACAACTGCAGCTTTCACTTCCCGTATGAGTGCGCCGACCACTCAGTTATTGGATTAAAGTGTGGGTGATCTCAAAACACATATTTATTTCTTATTAATTTCTTTGGTTATGGCTGTCACAGCTGACCACTCAGTTATTGAATTAAAGTGTGGGAGGTCTCCCCTCCTCTTCTTTGTTGTCAGACCAGAGCATTGGAATTACACTCGGATGCCACAGGATAGTGAGGAGGGGTGTAAGAGGGAGCTCGAGGCTCCTGTTACTGAAAAGAAGAAAAGAAACAAGGAAGCAGCATATGGGATGAAGGAGGCAAACTCAAGCAGCAGCAGCAGGGAGGATTGAATGGCTCTTTAGCCCAAAGAGCAAACACTTGTGAGAGCCAGCGGTGACTCACCTGACTTGGCTATGGCCGCATGCGGGGTTACATGAGGGAGACCTTGGAGATGGAAGCAGGGGTGGGAGATTGGAGCTGAGTGAGCGGAGCAGCCCCTGGGAGAGCGACTGGAGCTCTGTGAGCCGAGCCCTCCAGAGGGAGAGCACCCACCTGGGGCCCCAGACAGGAGCCAGACCCTCTGGGGCAGGCGGTGAGGACCCCTGGGTTGGGGACTGCTTTGACAGGGCGTATTAACCCCGAGCGGGGAAGATTTTGTTCACTGAAAGTGCCGGCTCATCCTCTGTTTGCAGGGCTGCCCACGCAGGGCACCTGTGTTAAAGCGCCAGCTTCCTTTTTTTCCCGTTCTCATGATGATTTGCTTACCCGGTGTCGGGAGGGTGTAGTTAAGGCACTAGCCTGCTTTTATGTTGTGATTTGCTGCAGGTGAGCGCGTGGGGATTATAGTGGGGGGAAGGAGGTCACAGAGTGCCACAGAGAGGCACGTCAGGAAGTTCTGCCGTGGGGCAGGGACACGGGACACAGGGGCCTGATGTGCCTGACCCGAAGGGAGAGAGGGAGAAAGGCTGGAGCCCAGAAGCTGCAGTCCGATGTGGTGGACCTAGGCAGAAAGGGCTCCAGCCAGAGGAAAGGGGCCAAGGCTAAAGCCCTGACAAGGGCTTGGAGGTGGGAGAAGGCCTTAAATGAAAACAGGTAACAAAACACCTACAAGGCACGGGCATGGCTGTAGGGCAGGTCGGAGCCCACAAACACACCTCTGACAGCACCTGGTGTCAGGGGACACCGAGAGAGCGAGATAGACCAGACAAGGGTTTCCACCCCAGGACTTGGGCATCCTCCCAATCTTTTCCTTTTCAAACAATATGAAAGGCATGCCATGTGAGGGACAGGGAAGGAAAAGGAGGAGACAAGACTCTGGCAGTCACCCAAGGGTGCTACCTCAACGCTCAACCCTGCCCTGCCACAAGGAGGTGTGATTGGGGCACCAGCCCTGGGTGCTGACCATGGTGGGGGCAGCTCAAAGATAGCAGCAGCTGTGGTACTGGACTGGCCACAACCACAGTGCCATGCAGCACAGCAAATTGCCATGTCCCATACACTGCTGCCACCCAGGGCGCTGAGGTGTGCTTGTATGGAGCAGTGTACAGAGGGGCAGAGTCACACCGGAGCAGCTATGGAAGGGTCTGGTGTGCCAGGTTGAGCATGGATCTGGTTCCTGTCCTCTGGGAGGAGGTGAAGGGCTGAGGTTACCCTGCTGGGACTGAGAAGGTGGGTGCAGGAGTTAGGGTGCTACAAGCTGGTTATATATCCCCAATGCTCCCACCCTGTCCAGACCACACCAGACCTTTGCCTTAAAGCAGTGATCAGCAACCTGCATCACGCATGCCAGAGCATGACATGCAAGGCCATTTTCCTTGGCACGCCACAGTCGACCATGATGCTGGGCAGCTTCTGCCAGCAACTGCCCAGAGGCCTGGCCGGATGCACCCGGGAGGCTGCAAACAGCTGCATGGGGCTCCACAGCCCCCACATCAGTCCATGGCTGCAGCAGCTGTGCGTGAACCCATGGGTGCATAGCTGGGGAGTGGCCTGGGGCAGCACAACCCTGGCTTCTCCCCCCCCAGGGGAGGCTTCAAACAGGTGTGCTGGGCTCTGGAGGCCCAGTGCCAGCTCCATGGTGGCAGCAGGGGCACGCGTGGATGACAGCACACAGTGAGGAAGGGGCTGGGGCAGTGAAACACTGGCCCCTCTCCCACAGTCCACCCGGAGGCAAGCACACAGCCACCACCAGCAATGAGGATCCGGCCCCTTGCGGCTCCCCCAGCTCTGGCACGCCAAGTCAGGGTGTGGATGGAGGTTGGGGTGGTTGTGGCACTCCAGCCAAAATCACTGCTGACCCCTGCCCTAGAGCATGTGTCATGGTGCAGTGTTGCTCACATAGACATGAGTGTCACAGACTATGTGTAGAGACTGTGTACAGTCAGACAGAGAGGCAGGGCTCCTTTTTTTTTCTCCAGGCGCCAGGTTAGCTCTCATTCTTTTTCCTGAAGGCCTGAGTTCTTGAGAAAGGGATTTTTCAAGCCCTCAGGGACCTGGAAGCCAAGTTCCAATGAGAAATTCACAGGAATTTAAAGTCCAACTCCCAGAGGTGGCTCCAAAAAATCCACTGGAGATAATTCTGATTCTCTCTGTTCTTCTCCAGCTATGGGCTCTGCCCTGCACATCTCTGCTGATGGGTACCAGGATGGAGGGATACGGGTTGGATGTCGATCGGCTGGATGGCACCCAGAGCCCAAGGCTGAGTGGAGAGATCACCGTGGGCAGCTACTACCTCCAACCTCTGAGAAAATATCCATGGATGCTGGTGGGCTGTTTCACACAGAGATTTCTACTGTTATCATGGAAGAGTCTAACCGAAACGTGACCTGTTCTGTCAGGAATCTGGTCCTCAACCGGGAAAAAGCAGCAAAAATCGATATCGCAGGTCAGTGCCTTCCACACTGTGACCACGATGTGGGAGTGGGGAGGGGGTGTCACTGCTGGGCTCACACATCTGACATCTAGTGAGGCCTTTCCCTGGGCAGGACAAGACCTCGTCTGGTCTGCTCGCAGCAGGGCTTCCGGTAACACAGCAGTTTGCAGTAACACCGACATCAGGACTCAGGCCAAGCTCCTTGTGGCTGAGTCAAGAGCTGGGCCTGGGTGAGCACAGGCTGGGGTCAAGCAGTAACTGCTGCCCAAGGTTTGCAGAAATGACTGAGGACTTGGGATGCCTCCACTTTGGGTGCCCACCTGAGACACCTGATAGATCCTGATATTCAAAGGCAGGTGCTCAGCACGTCACCACTCTGAGACCTCAGGCTGAGTGTCCAGGGTCACTGGTCACTGCAGTTGCTGTAAGGGACTGTAAACAGACTCATTGGCAATGTGTAGGGGGTGAATGCAGGTACATGTGCACCCTCTGACCTCGGCGGTGCACCCCCTGCAAAAAGGGCTGCCAACACTGCTAATGGTGCCTGCGGGCGGTTGCCACTTGCCACCCCCCGCCCCTCCCCGCTGCTGGCAACACCAGGTGGTCCCTGATCCCCGCTGGCCACTGCTGACACTGACGGCAGGGTCTGCGGGTGGTTGCCGACCAGTGGTTGGCAGTCATCACCCCCTCTTTGCCCCCACCACCAACACTGCTGTGGCTACCTGCAGGAGCTCCCCGCTTGCTGCCGCCATGCTCCCACCACTGACAGCACCTCTGCCGCCGGTGGGAGCTCGCCATGCCCCCCCAGCTTCATGGGGCATGCAGTGTTCATGCACAGACTGGACTGTCCAAAGCCACCTCAATCCTCCCATGTTGCAGCTTGTGCTCTGGCTTTTCCTTGTGGAGCTGCACAGTGCATACAGGGTCTCTTAGGTACAAAAGGACATCAGGGGTGGAGTTCCCCGGGTGTGCATTAACGTTACAGTAACTCATGCAAGTGTCATAACCCAATGATTTTGGGTGCCTTGCCACAGTGGAATTTCCCGCCACCCTGGAACAGACAAGGACAGGCTCGGCTCCCAGGCCAGCATTCGCTCTATACCTGCATCCCTGGGAGGGGCCGGGGGGGTTGTGGGCTCCATGACTGGCACTCAAGCACTTCAGTACCTGACTGCACCCTGGGTGCAGCCTGCATCTCCTGGCATGAGCGGGTCACCCTGAGATTCAGGACATCCTTGCACTGACACAGAGCTCAGCTGTCAGCCTGTGACTGCAGGGTCAGTGTTTGACTTTGGTGACCTGCTGGAGGAGGCAGCCACTTCCCAGGAGGATCCCATAATGTCCTGAGGAAGGGGAGGTTGCTATCTCTTCCCACAGGCTGACAGAGGTTTCTGCACCCAGGGGTTGTGCTGCTGGGTCTGGTTTATTTCTGGATTTACCACTCTGTTGCCTTAGGGCAGTGGGCAGGACAGTGGCCACATTAGCAGGGCTGGAGCTTGGACTTCCAGTATGCTAAGCATGAAGCATGGATGATCCCCATCAGCCTAAAATCTATCAGGAGGGTCCCAGGGAAAGCCACGGTTGCCGCCAAACCTTGTGCATTTACTCACTCAGGACAGCCAAGTGAATGACACTTTCTCTTGCAGATCAATTTTTCCCACGGGTCTCTGTCACGGTGGTGGCTCTGGCTGTGGTGGTGGCGGTCCTGGGGCTTGGCTATGTCCTGTTCCTTATCTGGATCTGTTTCTTAATTGTAAGGTAATGTAACAGGATGGGGAGAATGTGGGTAGAGGACAGCTCCTCTGAGATGGGACAGGGCAGGATAGACAGGGCTCCCGGCCATGGCTCTAAGAGGCTCTAAGCACTGGGGCATGGACTGAACCTGTGGGAGAAGTTCCTGAGCAGATGAGACCCCACATCCGAGCCAGAAAAATGGACAAAGGATTCAGGCTTCTGGAGCTCAGTGAAGACCCAAACCAAACACTGCAGTGAGTAATCCCGCTGGGAAAGGATCTGGGGAGGTGCTTATGGCCAAATCCTGTCTTCTGAGTCTGGTAGGAGCAATCATGGCCAAGTGGTGCTGGGGAGAGTCAGCAATTCCTTCCTGAAAGCTGGGGTGCTCAGCCTGAGATCTCCCCACAGGAACGGTCTGGACTGCACGTTGGGGTGCTGATGTGTCTTGTGCACTGTGGGTGCTCCCTACTGGTTTGCTCCCTGGTCTCCAAGGGTGGCATTTGGCCGGCAGGGATCTCCTGAGGGTGGGAGTGGGATCCTAGAGGTGCCGACGGCTGTGATGTGACCTGGTGTCTACAGTTGTAGGGACACAGAAATCGCACTTGGGTCCTGCAGGGCCACTCTCAGACACAGCTCATGCTTGGGCTCAAATGCTCTGTCTCCAGCTGTGCTCAGCAGTGATGGTGAGACATGCCGATGCCTCCGTGTCCTGCTGGACATGTATCCCAGGCAGGCACCCCAGGGGGACCAGCTCCAAGTGCAGCACCACGGGCCCAGCCCCACCTCATTCACTAAGCCCCGGCTGGTGTGACCATGTGCTGGACAAGGGTCCCTCCTCCCCCATCAATTCATGGACATGAATCCTCTAATCTGGGCCCAATGTCAGCTACTCCGCATCATCCCTGCAACTAGGGGCAGGGAATACCCACACGGCAAGGAGTAGTTTTCGGGTAGAGCCCAGGTCAATGCCTCACTCAGCTGACCTACTTCACCTTCCTCATCTCCATGCCAGGAGCCTGGGGCAGCTGGGACAGCTTCGGGCATGGGGCCCAGACTCCAGTCCCTTGTGAGCCCAAGCAGACACCCAGTGGACATGTTGGCAAAAGGCCACAAGAACATCCAGCCCTGGCCCCTCCTCCCCTGCACTGCCACACAGACCCCTGACCCCGGGGACAGTTTCCATTAGGGGGAAAATCCCACCAGGGAGTAAAACTTGCAGTCTGCCCCAGAACAGGAGAGACAAGGGACCCAACAACATCTTAGGTACTGTAGAGGCAAGGATTTTTGGGGTTAAAAATGTGTGATGATCCCAGTCAATAGAACGGACCATCCCACAGTCCTGGCCAACCTGACCTGGGAGATCATTCCTTCTGTTGAGCCCCAGCTCAAGTCTGGGATCGTGCCCGGTATGCAAAAGCCAATAAAGATACCAGGGGTGAAAGTATAAAGATTTATTGCTAGCAATACAAGGTGCAAGCGGAATAATTTCACGTAACAAGCACACAGATCCTTAATTCTAAGCATCTTTTATACAGGAGTATTGGACCTTCATAAGCATTCTTGTTTGCTAATTGGATATAAGGGAGTGACGCAAGGAGTTCTTTACTGAGCATGTCTCTATACCTGTGTTTTAGCTATGTATCTCATTTCCATACATGTATGTTTCATTAGCATACTTTCTCCCCACCTAGGGGTGTGAATCTTAATATTTAAATCAGTTCTTTGCCCTAGTCCACTAATTCTGTTTTTGTTTTCAAGCCTCCTTTATCTAAGACTGTCTTCTCCTTATCATTGCAGTTGGGCATTAGTTACAGAACAGAGACTTTTGCTTGGGCTATGTGTAGTGGTTTCTAGGTCAAACCTGACACTTCCTGAGCCCATACTCAGCAATTGATTTAATCCTAACGTTTTGTTGTTGCTGGTTTTAAAAAATAGATATATCTATATATATGAGGTTATCTATAGCTACACTCCTAATATCACTAAACAAGGAAAACCAAAACCCATTAATATATTTGCACTCACGCTCCTGCACAAAGGCCCTCTGGCCACCCGAACCCATTACAGTAACCGCTCCCACACACTACACACACAGAAACCAAAGTCCCGGTCTCTCAGACCAGCCAAACTATTCCCTTCATCCCCGCCCTGTGGCAGTCACAGGCTCAATTCACCCATTGTCCATGTTGCTGTCGCTCCCGCTGGAGGACTCACTGCTGCTGTCACTGTTGGTGCTGCTGCCTTCAGCTCTGTTGTTCTCCTCTTCCTCACTGTCTCCATCTACTTCCCCACTAGTGGGGGCAGGATGGTCCTCTGCCACACGTCTCTGTGCCAGGTGGGCTGGAGCAGGTCTTAGAGGGGATCGGAAATAGTGAGACATTTTGAATCATCCACTGGAGCTGGTCAGTCCCAGGCAGCAGGGATGTGATGTGCAGAGACTAATATAGACCTGCGTGCGTGTCCCCTCTGACAGCCCATCGCCTTATATTCATCACAGTCCAACTATGCTAATGGTACCTCTTGTCCTTCCTTCCCCAGTGACTCTGATCTCTGAACTGAAGAGTGAAAAAGGTGCATGCCGGGGACTGTGTGATGTGTTAAAGAATTTCTGTGACCCTTTCCACCAAATAGAGATGACTGGAAATAGGACTGAGATCAGACGGAGACGTGTGCCATCCTGACCCCACATAACAGCCCTCACAGGGCAGGGAGCTCCTCACTCACCCCAGGGACATGGCTGCATCTGCCAGTCCCAGAGCAAGTTCTGCCAAACTCCTGTCCGGACGTGAAAGAAAGATGATTTCCACAGTATCATTAACTCAGTCAAGCCAGCTCAGCTTTGTGCAGGGACAAGCAGGGACAAAGGCAAGAGTGTTTGCTTAATTGCAGCAGTTCAGGAGACCGCCTGGTTTGATCCATGTGCTGGGCTGTCTCTTTTCCCATTGCAGACCCCAGCAGCGCGCTGAGGGGCTGCTCCAGCTGGCTGAGACCTGCTCTGATGGGGAAGGGCCAGTGTCTTTATCAGCGCTGTGGCTTTACGGAAAGGCTCCCTCGTGGTTTGGTGCCTGCCCTGATGGCTTTCAGCCATTTCATCCAATGACACAACCTAAGACTCAAGGATCTAAGCCTCTCCCCACTCGGAGCAGGGAGGAGCCATGGCACCTGGGAATGGCTGGGAGGTGCAGAGCAAAGGGAGGAAGGAGTCTGGGACACGCCAACCCATGGGATGCATGATGGTGACTGCTGTGAATAAGAGCTCTCTAGAGGTGTGAGTGTGTGCAGGGTCCTGCCCCCAGACTGGGACCTCCTCAGTGCAGGGATGGGGTTCCTGAGGGTGCCTGGACACGTTGTTGACTTGGTCTAGCTAAATATATTCTTTGGGGTTTTCACTCTTGCAACGTACCGCGATGACTCCCATGACTATTTTGCAGACAATGGGTTTAGCACTCGAAATTCGTTACTGTGCTATTACAAGTTAAAGACGCCAGAGAGCACCTCTGATCAGTTTTTCCCTCCTGACCCCCCACTGCTAAGGTACAGCAGGGGGCAGTCATGGACTGTGACCTGTGATTGGTTTAGCTTTTTTAGGGGGGCTTA